TTGGTGGTACTAAAAGTAGAAATTTCTGTTTTTAGTACCAGCGAGTCATCAATAGATGGCGCCACCGCTGCGTCCAAACTTTGACAGGTGTCTGTTTTTCCACAAATTACAAAAAGAAATTAATTAAGAGGAATCATTTGTGAGTTGTTATGGTTGCGTCATCGATTTTAGGGACCCTCAGCTTTCGTTCTATGTTTTGTTTAAGTATAGTTTACGCATATAAAGAATGTTTCAATTTCGTTTATGGTAGTGCCAGTAGTGAGTGCATAATTTCGCGCAAACTGTAGTGAATATTAGATTTAGACTTATTTGCGAACATAATTGGTAGCATTATCATTGAAATATGTGCTCGTGGAGTGTAAATTTGTAGCGTGAAAAATTAAAATTAATTATTTCCGTCATATTGTTATAGAGCGTTTAGTTCCACCGGTCTGCCACAACGCGGCGCTAGTGTTTCTTACCCCGTAAAACAGAGAAATTTTCATTTGCGAAAAAACCTAATTTAGCGAAATAAATTGTGAACTTCGGCGATTGTGTTACCCTAATCAGACCCTTAGCTTTCTTTTCATACCCCATTTGACCCGTAAAATGCAGAAATAAGTATTTTTGTAAATAATTAGTACCACTGACTTACCGCTAGATGGCGCCACCATGTCCAAATTGTGACATTTCGCACTAATTACAAAAAAAACCTAATTAAGAGGCATAATTTGCGAACTTTTTCATATGGCTCATTAAAATTAGGCTCTCCGCTTTCTTTCTATGTGTGTTTTGTCGTAGAAAAACGTCTGTGTAAAAAGTTGAATTTTTTTTTCAATAGATCGAAGGATGTCCTTGTCGCACACTGCTGCTGTCCTTGTCTAGCGTCATTAGACAAAGAGAGCACTAGTGTGCGACAAGGACAGACGTACAGGTGCGTTAGACAAGGAGAGCAACAGCGTGCGACAAGGACAGACATATAAGTGCGTTAGACAAGGAGAGCAATCGCGTGCGACAAGGACAGACCTACAAGTGCGTTAGGCAAGGAGAGCAACAGCGTGCGACAAGGACAGTCATATTCACGCCGTAGACATGGAGAGTGCGACAAGGACAACAATATAAATTAATTATACATTGACAAGAGACAATCGCTGTATCGTTGCTAGATCCAAATACGTTGGCAATTACGTCCAAATTCCTGGAACTACATTATCCACAGTTTCTGATATATTGTCTTCTTGCATTTCGAGTTCGTCACTATTTGATACTCTTCCGTTGTCTGATGATTGTTCATTGTCAGGAACGTCTTGTGCATATTGAGCGAAAGACAAAGAAATATTGCTCGTTGACAATGAGGACATTGCGTCAACAAATGGAAACAACAAATAGAAACAATGGAAAAAAGTAATAAAAAGAACAAAAATAATTGCTTCGATTTACTGCACACATCTTTTCTCCTCAGAGCGTTAGCAGAAACTGATTTCTTTGTCTTCAGTCTTCATCATTCGGCACTTTGGCGAACACGTGTTACCCACTTGACGTGTTTTGTGCGATCAGGTTTCAACTACTACACAGGCAGCTCCCATCAATGTGTGCGTCATTGCGTTAATGACTCTGACATAGTAGGCGAACGGTTAAAGAGGTTATGTAGCATGACATTGATTTGAGTCAGCGATATATATATATACGTAAGACACGAGTGAATGAGTGTATCTTTATTCTTGAATCAGATTGATTTCAAGAATACAAACAAAGATTACGGCGAACAAAAAGGGTAGGGAAAAAACAAACAATAAAAATGACTGATTACATACAGGAATATATTGCCGACAGTTTGCATCCAAGTCAGATTATAGAAAGAACCAGTAATAAAATATGAATTGTTTGGTTAATTCATGTGTTTTAACGTTACTGTATTTTTCATGTTTTTCATTCATCTATTGCAGATCAACATTTCTCACCTGTTACCGAAGATGGTGTGCCAATTAGAAAATTATTTATCAGCAACTTAGCAGACAGGGTTTGTACATATACGTTTATATATTTAATACTATACAATATATTCTTTGAGCATGTAAATCTAACAGTAAAATGTTCTTTTTCAGACATCATTTAAAGATCTTACAAAATTATTTTCCAAGTATGGAGACGTTGAAACTTGCTATGTAAAAAAGAATTCAAAAAATAATAACTATGCATTTGTTACATTTAACAGCGTAGATGCAGCTGTGAGGTAAATTAAATCTTAATCTTAATTTAAATAAATACGAAGATGTAACTACAGATTTTTGTTTTGACGTTATACGATACTTTATAGAGCCAGATACGAAGAAATAAGATTGCACAATAGAGATTTAAAAATCCTTGCAGCTGATTCTTGGCATCAACCAGATAGTATAGAGAATCAATATTACAACGTCGTAAAAGATAAATCAAAATTTAACAAAGTGTCAAATGATACATGCAATCTGGATTATGTACAAGATAACATTAGCATTCAAACATTAAATGATGACTGTCTGATGCAGATTTTTCTTCAATTGCCAATTGTAGATAGGATCAGAATAGAAAGAGGTAAGTATACATTTTTTTTTTTTTACAGTTATAATTGTTTTAAAATATATAATTTTGATATTTATGTATATAAGTGTACACAGAATCTTTTTAATAATTGTAGTGTGCAAGAGATGGAAAGCATTAAGTCAAGAGTCCTGGCATAGTGTGAAAAGACTAGATTTATCGTATTCTATATGGGGCTGTTTATCTGGAATAAACAGAAAAGAAATTAGTATATGTACCATTCGTAAAGTATTACTGCGATGTGGTTCATATTTAAATGAGATAAATCTATCCCTAGTACCGTGTCATTTACGTCAAAGTACAGTAACTGTCGTTGCAAAATTATGTCCTAATTTACAAATAATAGATATCACTGGCCTTACCGTTTCCACATCTGGTATCAATTCGCTGATCACTAATTGCCACTATATTACAAAATTTAGCCTTGGTCCTACCTCTTATGTTTGCGATGCAGATCTACAAAAATTATTCTACGTGAATCCAAAGTTACGATATTTTAGATTCTCTGGCACTAAAATGAGCGGACGGTGCTTATTCCATTTACCATTGGAAACAATGGAAGAAATCGTTCTAGAATCTTGTACCTATCTTCAAGAACACTTCTTATCGCAGGTGAACTTTGAGTTTATTTTTAACCGCTTTACAAAAAGCTTGATCCTAACTAAGTAATTAATATTTTTCAGGCAATTCCGAAATTACGAAACTTAAGAGCGCTTACAATAAGTAAATGCGTTTATATAACCGGTAACGTTATTCAAGCTATTGGCACACATTGTACGAATTTAAAAACGTTAGAAGTTTCTAGTATTTTATTTTCATTACAATCGGATGACATGTTACATATTGCGCAATTAACCAATCTCGAAGTTCTGAAACTCAGCATGAACACTGTAGTTACGGACCTACTTCTTTCTACTTTGGCATCGAAATGCCTGTGTCTCACATATCTAGACATTGCCGGTAAGTCAGATATACGAAAGTAATTCACATGTGTAATTTGCTTCATTTCTCGTCTGTTGCAGAATGTTTTCTTGTTACAAACGCTGGCATAACCGCTATAGCAACTCTTCCCAAATTAGAAGTGTTAATAATGAACAACTTGCGATTAGTGACGCACATAAATTTACGGGACACATCCAATTTAAAAAGGCTAGAATGTCGTGTTTGCAAATTTACAGATAGAATGATAATCAATCTTATCGAGTCCGCGCCGCAATTGAGGTTGCTAGATTTATCCGGATGCCCATATATTACTAATAGAACATTAGAGAAAGCTGCCACGCTTACGGTTAGTCGAACCAACAATACTGTTTTAAAAATATTCGTAGGCAAAACCTCAGTGGATCTTAGTACTTTTAATAAAGTATCACCGTTTTTACAAGTAGTTAATGTAGACTTATCTAGTTGTAATGGCACTGTAACATTTCCACTTGTACTATAATATTTGTAAACATTTATTGTGTAAGATTTTTTTATACATCATATATACGAAACGTTATATATAACGTTAACGAAACAGTTGAAAGTATTGAAGAATGAGAATAACTTTGACTCAGACATGTTTGTTTGCAATAACTTTAGAGACATAAATTTGATAGTACTTATGTCGGTAGACGAACTTTGTAAATCATTTTGTAGAAGATTCACGAAACGGAAAAAAAGGGATGATAGATAATAGTGTGATCATATTTTCTGTAAACGAAGCACATTATTACTATTTTATACCATAGTAACTAGTGTTACCATTAAAACAGTAATTAAATTTTGACAGACTACGAAATTTTTCCATCACAGGTAAAGCGAAAATATAAAGTTCTGTCTAAATCAAAATACTGTACGCTCAAATTAGTGTTAATGAAAGCGACTGTTTTAATACTTTGTATTGTACAAGATAAATTTATATTTTCATAAATATATGTAGATATACTTTATTAACGTCCGGATCTCAACACACGAGGAGTATATGCTTCAATGTAGGATAAATTTATTCTTCGAATAATTACAACATTTAGACAGTGAATCGATATAGCGGCAATTATTATGCACAAATTTGCAACAAGGAATATCCATATATTTTGAATAAGTGCCAGAAATAATTACCTCTTTGACAATTGAAATTCACTGTTCAGCGAATAGAATCTTTTTTTTTTTATGGCTGTATATTATTAATATCTTACATAATTTTCTTAACAGGACTTTTATCGAAAAAAAATGTCATTCTGTTTACGATAAACAGGATTACACACATTGTTATAGGAGATATAAACATAATAAGAAAGATCAGTTCTTGGGCGTCTTACGCTTAGGCACATAAGTGGATATTCCCACTGTGCTTTCAAACATCACAATACGCTCGTAGTACAATCCGATATTTTTTTAAGCCAAATCGGAAAAAGGCTACATCTACGCGGTCCCGTATATAAAAAAGTAATGGCTACAAACATAAATAACTGAAGGGACAGATATATTATATTTAGAACTTCCATCCACGTATAACGGATCGTTTCCTATTATTATTATTTTTTTTTTTTTCAATTAATAATTTCAATGCAACACCTTCGATAGGAAACAAAAGATTGTAACGCGCAACATTTACATACAATAGAGAACAAGGATGCTTATACTGCCATTATACTATGTACATATAGACATTTTTTTTATCAGCACATTACAATGGTAAGCGACTATGTCTATTATTAAACACCTGTCTATTACGGACCAAATGTTATTCGACAAAGAGACATAACTAATGAATCGTAGCAACAGAAAAGAATCATTGACTTCTACGTGGTATTTGTGGTATTTTGGTTGAACGCTTCTGTTTGAATAAAGATTGAAGAAATTTCAAAATTTCTTTAAATTGTCCCTCCTTAATCATAGATACAATAAAAATTATTAACATCTTTTAATTACATGTAATTGTTGAAATATGTGTAAATATGGAGGTGGCCAAAAGAATGGCTTTTGAATCTTTCAAACACAGTTCGTAAAAATTGCACAAGAAAGACTTGATTCACAGCTATACAGTACATACAATCGTCGTATATATTCATTATCATGTGAACACATGGACGCGCATCAAAGTTATGTTGTCAATTTCATCTATGAAGTGTAACATCTCAGACCGCGATATATATATATATTTATGGAAAAATACGATAAACGATTTTTAAAAATATATGGATTTAACATACACTATTACGAAAAGAGGTAAAATATTTAAAAAGGTATTTGTTTATCGTTTTTTTAATGTTCTTCTTTATGACTTGAAAGTGTCACATCGATTGACGTTTAATAAAATAGTATTTCATAATTATTGTAGCCATGTTGTACAATATTTATATTAAATATTATTCTTGGTGAGATATATCTTTTATACAACAGTATGCTAGTTTATCATCGTTATTAACTGCAAGAGAGCTAGAATTTTTCAAAATATAAAATGTATTAGCTTATTGAAATACTATTTTATTTAACTACAATATTTGAAATCGCGGGCTGATGTTTCATAAAAAATATTACAGTATTCTCACAATGATAGAACAAAAGTCTTTTCTTTTTCGATGGTGTGAATAATGCTCTACGAATGTCAGGTACAAATGTCTAGTTAACACTTCTTCAAATTATGTCTTCATAAATCCGATGCCCATATGTATCCTAATGTCATAGGAAACACAACTTGCCCATGAGTGTACAATAACGTTGAACTTATAAGGATAATCGTTTATCTTACATACTTTCAACAGAATCATAAGATAAAGATACGAAATACGAGTGAAATGACATAAAGATCAAGCACAGTGACGTATCTCATGCAAATACATAAAATTTCTTCTGTACTTCACGATAATCGTATATACATCAAAAGTGATTGTATATTTATTCAACCATGTTTTGACACAGTTGTTATCGCGACTTTAAAACCAGACTGTAACGTATCATTAACAATAATTTAATGTCTTAACATAAATTCTGTATCTTATTTAGTAGCTTGCACATTTAAATAACTAAATATATGATTATTTAAAACAAGAATAAATCAACGATACATATATTGAAAATGTTAATATTCTTAGGTTCTATTTCATAAATGCTATCGCTCAAACGGTTTACTGAATTACTGAGCAATGTTGAATAAAAAATAATAGACAAAAATCATAGATTCTGGTCAATAAGTTTGTTTTCAAAGTCGCGAAAGATCCTCGTTTCACGAATTATGACAATGTTTAAAAAAAAGAAAGAAACGAAGTTTACAAACGTCACTGTTCATATTAATCGAACGAAAAGAACTGAAGATTCACTTAAGAGTACTGAACGCGTATATAGGTAGTCAAGTATGTAAGAGTGACATTTATTCAGGATTGTACGTTCGCTAAACGTGTTGGAGTGGTCGGTTGTAGATCCATTGTACGACATACCCAACCAGCGATGTCTACATTCTCAGACTCAGCTTTCTTTATCCATTCGTGATTCTGAAACAATTTAAGGAACACGTAAGAGTAAAAGTTATTTCATTTAAATGAACAAAGTAGAACACACACCATTAACGTTTTTAAATCTGCTCTTTCGGCGGGATTTTTCTTTAAGCAACGATCCACGAAATCTGTAAAAGCATCGCTGAAGATACCAGCGGGCAACTTTGGCGGTGGTTCATTCACAATATAATCCAACAATTCAAATATAGCCATTGGTCTTGGGCTGCCTGTATCTATAAAAAAAAAAAAAAAAAAAATATATATATATATATATAGAATAAATTGTACAAAACAATTCATATGATATATGAAAAAAAGTAAACTAACTGTGCGCAGGCGATTGCGTTGGAGTAGAGGCATTATTAGTAGCATTCTCCGCAGGTAGTTGACCTGGTGGAATACTGAATATCGTAGCTAAAGTTTTCTCATCCGGAGGTGGAATTGGGTACATTCCAATTGCCATTTCCACAAGTGATAGTCCTAGGGACCAAATATCACTTTGCACAGAGTAATGTGTGCCTTGAAGTCTTTCTGGCTATAAGTGCAAACATTCTTATTACACATTGTATCTAGCATAATTTCAAATAACAACACAATTACGATCCTTACCGACATATAACTCCTAGTTCCAACGAACGAATTAGCCATGGAATCGATTAACTGCCCGGAAACACCAAAATCGCAAATTTTGATTTCCCCAGCACTGTTTACCAGGATATTGCTTGGTTTTACGTCCCGATGCATAATCGCATGTTTGTCCCGTAAGTAGCTCAATCCTTTCAGAACCTGCAACAAATCAACAGGTTCGACAATTAAAAACTGATGCAGTTAAAGTTCCCTGAAGTTCAGCCTTCGTGGAACAAGCAGGCCATGAAGATATCTGCCATTAAAAAAAAATTTGAATAACCAAAACAAATTTCTCAGACGACAATTACATCTAAAGCAGCATTGAATTTTATGCGTTTCAAGATGATCTACGCAGCGGGTAAAATATTACACAAGTCGGCTAGTCAGATCAGCAGAAAGAAGCTGACTGGCGAAGAGATCAGGAACCTTCAACAGGAATTGATAACTCAAGACCACATGATCCCTTTGGAACAGTTATGCGTGAAACTAAATACCAATGTAGCTAGTGGTCTAACCAACGAGGAGGCAGAGAAGCTTCTCCTCGAAGTGGGACCAAACGCCCTGACACCACCGAAAGTAACTCCGGAGTACATCAAATTTTTAAAATGTATGTTTCACGGGTTCGCCGGTTTGATGTGGGCCTGTTCATTATTGTGCTATCTTTTGTATGGAATTAGCATGGCGACAGAGGGCGAAAGTGGTGGCATAGAATGGCTAGGGATTATCATTATGATAATATGCTTATTTTCTGGCTTCTGCGCGTACATACAAGAAACCAAAAATACAAAGGTAAAATAGGTTGCTCGTTAACTCGTTAGATTGCCATGAAATGTTATAAATAGATACAATCTATAGGTAATGGAGTCTTTCAAGAAAATGGTCCCAACGTTCGCTACAGTAATACGGGAAGGTGTCAAGATACAGATAGCAACCGAAGATTTGGTCCCAGGCGATTTAGTGCAAATTAGAACCGGGGACAAGATACCAGCCGACATCAGAATTATCGAGTGTCGAGGTCTTCGAGTGGAGAATTCGAGTATCACGGGTGAAAGCGTGCCGGTAGTTCGCACGGACTATCCTACCGACGAGAATCCTTTGGAATCCTCTAACGTTGCCTTCTTCTCCTCTTTCGCCGTGAGCGGAGATGGCATTGGAGTTGTAATGGCCACTGGCGATCAAACGATGATAGGCCGTCTTGCTGGCCTCACGTCGCAGCTGGAGAAGTCCGAGACCCCGATAGCCAAAGAGATCAAACACTTCGTTCAAATAATCATCATCATTGCCGTATTATTCGGAGTGCTGTTCTTCGGCTTGTCGCTGATAATCAATCCAAACATACTGAAAGCATCCACTTACTTGCTCGGCATCATCATAGCGAACGTGCCAGAAGTTTTATTGGTAACCGTTACCACGAGCTTGACGTTAACCGCCCAGAAAATGGCGAGCAAGAACTGTTTGATTAAGAATTTAGAGGCAGTGGAGACGCTAGGATCCACGTCAACTATCTGCTCGGATAAAACGGGAACGCTCACGCAGAATAAAATGAGCGTGTCTAATTTGTGGTTCGGCTTCACCAGGTTCAATTGTCCGCCTGATCAGAGATTGGGCGTCGAGAAGAACTTGTTAATGGAAAGGCCAGCTTTTCAAGTGATGCTTAAGAATGCCACACTTTGCCTAAGGGCGGAGTTCACGACTGAGTCGATCCTGCTGAAACCAATCGAAGAACGAAACGTAATTGGCGACGCCTCTGAAACAGGTATTCTCAGATTCTGCGAGCACATCCACACAACAGAACCGTTCCGGGAAACGTATCCAAAAGTTGCTGAGATTCCATTCAGCTCCATAACTAAATATCACCTGACGATACACAGAAACAGAAATGGATATATCATGATCCTGAAAGGTGCTCCGGAGATGATCCTTGAGAAGTGCACTCATATATTGACCATGGAAGGAGAGACAAGAGAAATGACACTCTTGGATCACTCGATGAGCCGGCGAGCCTGCAGCGAGTTAGGTTTCCTGGGCGAACGTGTGATAGCTTACTGTGATCTTCATCTGCCCGGTGATATTTATGACTCAGACTACAAGTTCGACACCGATTCGCCAAGCACGTACAATTTCCCTACAACAGGATACAGATTCGTTGGACTGATAAGTCTGATAGACCCACCGAGGCCAGCTGTGCCTGACGCGGTGAAGAAATGTCGTACAGCTGGCATCAAAGTGATCATGGTGACGGGTGACCATCCGGTGACCGCGATGGCCATTGCGAAAAAGGTCGGCATAATAAGCGAGGGGCACGAGACCAGGTACGAACGTGCGTTACTGCAGAACAAATCGTACACTCAAATAACCGAGGCCGACCAACACGCGACCATCATCACTGGCTCCGAATTACGAAACATGGGAAGCATGGAGTTAGACAATATTATAAAGAAGTACGAGGAAATAGTTTTCGCAAGGACATCCCCGCAGCAGAAGTTGAACATCGTGGAGAGTTGCCAGAGGCTGGGCGAAATCGTCGCGGTAACTGGTGACGGTGTGAACGACTCGCCAGCGTTAAGGAAAGCGGATATCGGCGTGGCTATGGGCATCGCCGGTTCTGACGTGGCGAAACATGCGGCCGACATGATTCTGATGGACGACAACTTCGCATCAATCGTGACCGGCATCGAGGAAGGTAGACTGATATTTGACAATCTCAAGAAATCCATTGTCTACACTCTGACGTCTAGCGTGCCCGAAATGCTGCCTATGCTAAGCAGCATTCTGTTCGTCATTCCTTTGCCCTTTATCCTAGAGATGATTCTCTGCGTAGATGTAGGGACAGATCTACTTCCCGCAATAGCATTAGCGTATGAAAAAGCGGAATCCGACATCATGCATCGACCACCAAGGAATCCTCAGTACGATCAGCTTGTAAACAAACGTTTGATATCCATAGCCTATGGTCAAATCGGAATGACTCAGTCCTTGGCTGCGTTTTACACATTTTTCATGATTCTCATGTTGAACGGGTTCCTACCTGATCGATTATTAGGATTAAGATTAGACTGGGAAGATAAGACGATCAATGACCTGCAAGATTCTTACGGTCAGACGTGGACCTACGATAACAGAATGGAGTTACTGAACGAAGCTCGTACTGGATATTTCTTAACTATCGTTATAACTCAACTCATAGATTTAATAATGTGTAAAACGAGAGTCAACTCGATTTTACAGCAAGGAATGGACAACTGGTTTTTAAATTTCTCCTTCGTTTTTGAAATTATCTTGACTGGCATGTTGCTATACGTGCCAGGGACTGAGAAAATATTAAAAACCATGCCCTTGAGTTCTTACTGGTACTGGCCGTGTTTGCCATTCGGTGCATTCCTTTGGATGTATGATGAATTAAGAAGATTATGTATTCGTAAGTTTCCTGGTGGAATTATAGAACAGGAAACTTATTACTAAATATCTGTATCTAAAGTTCATAACTAGTGTTTAAATGATTCAGTTGCTATTATGTTTTTAATTATAGTGTTATCAATAGTTACAAGTACAAAGTATAAGCTATATGCATAAGCAAGTTAGGATACAATAATAAAAACCAAGTTTAATACTTACTGCTGAAGTAATTGTACTTAATATAGGTTCTGGAATTCTTCCAGCTTTTTTCAGTATTAAATCTAATGAACCACCATCCATATATTCCATACATATACTAATTTCTCCATCACTAAAATAAACAAAAATATTTAATGCAAAAACTTTAATCTTCTAGATTCTAAGTAACTACTACATTAGATAAAAAACATTGTACCTATAAAAAGCACCATAAAAGCCAACTATGTGTGCAAAGTTGCACTCATGAAGAACTTTCAGTTCTCTAATTATTTGTTTCTTAATAGCAGGTTTGACCTCTAAATGTATTAGCTGAAATATTACAATTATGATCAATATAATAGATAAAACTGCTAATGTATTAAATCCTCGCTGATTTAAATGATTCTCAAATATATATCGTAGAAGGAATAAAGGGAACAAAGAGGATGTAACACATTGTACGTCAGGTCGTAATATACTAATTTCTAAACTGAAGCAAATAAAACGAGCCACACCTTTCTTGCCATTATAAGTCCATATTTTTTGTGCCTAACTTTCATAACAACACCACCATTACCAGCACCAAGCTCGCCAAGTTTCTCAAAATCATCATCGCACAGTTCTCCAACCTTTTCTTTCTGACCCAAGAAACTTTCTAGTCTTTTCTTTTGCTCTTCGTCCATTTCCAATTCCTTTAACCTTTCCTGAATGGCATCTATACTCATCTTTCCCATAACTCCACTAGAATTATAAAATGAACGAAAATTAATAAACACACACACACACGCGCGCAAATGAATATAACTCGTTACTTTTGAACAATAAAGAAGATTTGAATGAAAGAAGTAATTACTCTGGAATCACTGGTGGCTCAGAATAAATGGGCAACGGTGGTACCGGCGGAGACGGTGACACGGCTGGGACTGGTTCTATCGAACCAGGTGGTAGCGTCAGATTTAACTTGTTCTTTGACATTTATACCGTCGAAGTTGAACAATCGCCCTTGACAATTCTTTACACGCACGAATGTATCGCTTATCGTGAATGTCCTCGATAAAATTAAACACACCTATTTAATCGAGTCGAGTGTTTATTCAGTCGAAGATGACTTTTACAACGAGTTTTTTAAATTACAATACATGTGTCGTTACACACGTCATCGTTTTCGAGAAATCTCAAAATTCAGCAAGGTGTAGCCTGGGCCCGAGATGCTGAAACTGTCAAGCCTTGATTCGTCAAGTTCTCCGTTGGGCTCGATTTATTGGCAAACAATAGGAAAACGTACATTCCACTTGGAAAACAGTTGTTAATTTAATAACAACAATCACGGAACAGCGCGAGTACGCGTATCCTTTTTTGTTAGAGATATTGTGCAAACGAGAAGAGGTTATACAAATCTTCCCGGGACAACGACAAACACGTACAGTGTTCGTTTCAAAAGTTCCTAGGAACACGTTCCTTGAAACATTTAAATAAATTAACTTGGTGCAAGATGTCAATTGTGACACAACGCTCTTTTAATATTAGTATAAATGCACGAATGACGAATACGATTATTTATTATTACTTCGAAGTTGATTAATTTTTAAAATCAAGAATTAGATTCAAGCATGGAATTACGTTGAGCCATGTAAAACTTTTAAGAATATTAAAATTGCAGCCTAATTCGCTCGTATTTGGATTATAGTTTATTAAATCTAAGATAACATTGTTCATAGGTTCTTTTTATCCGACATGTTTTATGTTGGCAACACATATTTCACAGGAAGTGTCTTTCGAGTTGCGCACGTGACGTCTTTTCCTTTAAAAGTAAGATCGTTGAGAGGTACGTATAACCTGTGCGATTGCAATTTCTGAATCGAATCGCATCTTTAATTTTATGCTAATATGTCTCTTAAAACCATGAAATTTTGAAAAAATGTGATGCTAAATAACAATTACGTAAAAAATGTAAGATGCGAATGTTTGATAATCGAACATATATAATAACGAGGTTATGTCGCGACACCTACATTACAGGATGCCGACGTGAAAGATTATCATTGAATTTCTCTGTAATTCCAGAATACAATGGGTCGTTACTCTCATGAACCAGTAAATGCAAGCAAATCGTGCAAGGCACGAGGATCGAACTTGCGAGTGCATTTCAAGGTAAATTGAAAGGACAGCTGTATTTCGAAAGACTTAACCTCAAAATTTAGGCTGTGTTTACAAAATGCTGCGAAACAAACAGTTTATTTTATTTGATAAATTTTACCCTGATACGTTCCAGAATACACATGAAACCGCACGTGCTATCAAGAATATGTCCCTGCGAAGGGCTCAGAAATATTTGAAAAATGTAATTGAACACAAGGAATGTGTACCGTTCCGTAGATTTAATGGTGGTGTTGGCAGGTGTGCCCAGGCAAAACAATTTGGCACTACACAAGGTAAATCGCAATAAATAATTAATATTCTACTAATTTTTTAATATCTAAAAGTTACTTTTATTGTTTTTGAATTCAGGTCGTTGGCCCAAGAAATCGGCAGAATTTTTACTCCAGCTCTTAAAGAATGCTGAAAGTAATGCTGATGTTGCTGGGTTAGATCTTGACCGTCTTGTAATTAACCATATTCAAGTGAATCATGCTCCTTGTTTACGTAGGAGAACGTACAGAGCGCATGGTCGTATTAATCGTAAGTATCTGTAATGATATTCCTTTAAAATGTATATTTTTAGTACAGTTTAGGTAATTTATGTATGTTTGCACAGCTTACATGAGCTCACCATGCCACATTGAGGTGATTTTAACTGAAAAAGAAGATTTTGTAGTAAAAAGTCCAGAAGAAGAGCCATCGAAAAAGAAACTCAGTAAGAAGAAGCTTGCCAGGCAAAAGGAGAAAATGATGAGGGAATAATTTTATATACTAACTGGGTATTGAATATATAATGGAAAAAATGAAGATTGCAGTGTTCTTTAATTTTATTTCATTTTTATCCTCTTTCCTTATAAAGGTAATAATTATTTGAAATCAAATTAAAATTCAAAACTTTTATTACATAATCTTTGGTATTTAACATTCTCTTCCTAAGTATTTTCTACGTTCAGTTTTATATTTCATAATAATTACATCTAAAAGGTTACTAGGTAATTTGTAAAGTAAAAAATTTAGTTAAGTTTCTTTACTTTTTTTTTTTCATTGTTACACCGTTGTTTTACATTTCAAACATCTCGTAACTGTTACACCTTATAAATATGATGGCTACGTCTGAAATATGGACAGAGAGATACAAAAGTACATAACAAAAATGTTACAAATACCAAAATGAATAATCAGCGGTAGATGTCGATGGTACATCTCTCTACGTTTCACGTTTAACGACAGTAAACAAAATTCACACACAATTGGAGGGTGACATCGACGTTCTATCGAATATCTAGTACTGAATATATGACAGAAATAGCATAACGCCTTTATATTTCTTTACAAAGAAAAAAATGTAGGAAATTCTGCATTCTTGTTTCATTTATTCTCAAAAAAATATCATCTACTATCTACTATGAATTCTAATTGTTAATACTACGTTGTTTATTATCATTCAAGGATTGATATGTAAAATAGAAATGTGATGCTCAATTCGTCGGGATGTACATTGTTCACAATGAATCGTTTCATGAATAAATGCGAACGAATATATGAACGTACAACGCTCTGAAACGTGATAAGTTTATCAATTTGAAAAGTGCATCTATTGAAAGGTACTGTACATCGGTTCAATCGGTCTGATATAATTCTCCACTGGTGTCAAGAAAGCGGTTCCCGAGTTGTGTTTGGTAAGAATAAGCACAATAATCCTCCACCTGCAATAAAAGTATAATTTATATCATTTAGTAAAGTCTAATTTTTAGAGACAAATTTTTAGTTTTTTTTTTTTTAATAAATATGGAGGAGAACATTTCATATTTATTAAGAAACAAAAACGTGCCTATTAGAAGAGCAGCAACGATGAAAGTTGGCGCTGGACAATACATGTCCAAGAGTTGAGCGATTACGATGTTACCGATAATTCCACCGAGACGTGCCGCAACCATGGAAATAGCAATTCCCGTAGCGCGTAGTGGCGTTGGAAAAACTTCAGTTATTAGACAATCTAAGGCCGCGTTTCCGCAGCTTATCACGCCGCTGAAAATTGCCGAAACGATCAGATTATGATGCTTATTGTATACGAAGTACAATCCGATTGAACAGAGCCCCGATGAAAATGTACTGAACACTGCAAATAAATAATATATTTTATTTACATTATAAATAAATAATGTTTTTTTTATAGATATGTTAGAAATGACTTTATTGGCTTGATTTTTGATAATATTCAATAAAATTGTCCAGACGATTGAGACGTTAGAAATAATTGTACAAGAAGTTGTTATTTAAAAAAACTTTTTGGTTGCCCGAAATTACTAATAAATTTTCATCTTCATTCAAGACACACTGAACTTTTGTCTTCTCTTGAATATTGATTTAAGTATCAAACGGTCTTTACCTAAGAAGAATTTGCGACCAAGACGATCCATTCCTAGAACAGCAACGATATTCGCAGGTATGGCGGACGCAACGGTGATCAACGATTCCATAAAAACGGAGGCGCCGATTTTGTCCGAGCAAAGATTCTCGACATTCTGAGAACCCTTTTCAACTACGTAGTCGGTCACTTGACATATCGAAGCGATCTTGTCAGGGTGATCGCGGTGAAATTCGTCGAAACGATTGAACAATTCCGGGAACCACATCATCAAACCGTAATAACCAATATGAAATGTGAAATTGATGATGATGGATATCATGGTGAAACGAAGTATCGGCGAGATGAACAGTTGTTTGCTATTGTCTACAATGTCAGCGAGCATTGTTTTGTATTTATTCTTCTCAATGGTACTCTTCTTCGTTTCCGGTTCTTGGAAGTCGTCCAAAATTAATTCTTTTACCTGCAACGATGTCATTATAGAAGTTTTTAATCGTCGAGAGTTATTACCATTATTATTATTAATAAGATTTATCACTTGGAAATTTATATTAATTCTAAATCTTAAGATTTAATTATTATCGATAATAAAGCTTGTTTGACAAATATATAATATTTACCGTGTAACTATCACGCGGTTTGCCAGTGTTAATGGCATAGATCCCGCGGAAGATATCGAGCGCTTCCTCATGTCTTCCGCAGGACAAGAGGTATTTGGGGGATTCAGGGAGCAGTAGGAGCAGCCCCGCGACGATAAACGATGGAGCAGCGCAGATCAGCAGGAAGATTCGCCAAGAATTATATGTGAACGATGGACTTACGATACCAATGTCATTAGGGATGATCGACCATGCTAAACCTAAATAATAATAAACACGAACACAAATTCATTTATTAATATTGTACGTGCAAAGAAATTTTCTTGTTTTACCAAATGTTATATTAAATAACATAATAGTTAAAAAATAGTAATATAAAAAGTAACTTTACTATGATACTGATGTAATATGCAAAACGAATTTTTTTGCAAATTTACCAGCAACAAAAAGATTTCCAAGTGTCCAGAATGCAGCCATAAAGGACAGCATCGAGCCCCGTTTTGCTTTTGGTTGAAATTCAGCAAAGTATGACCAGATCACAGGTCCACTGCCGCCAAGTCTGTAAATTAATAATTTATTGATAATATCCAGCGACTAGAAGGCAACAATAGCTTTAGTTTAAATTAATTTTAATTGAATTTTACTACTATCACGGAGAATGTAAAATAAAATTAAATATAGTTTTTATCGAAGAAATTAAAGTGTTTGAGAATATTTTCAGTAAAATTCATCTTCTAAATCTACGAGATCCTCTGCTACTTCTAAATATTAATGATAATAATACAAAAGTGTTGAAGCGTTAAATTGGTGAACGTACGCGGCGCCATTTAGAAAACGGAAGAACATGAACAGTTCATAGGACTGGCTGAAGCTGGAGGCAACGATGCAAAGTGCATTCGTGAAGGAGATGGCGATGAGAACCTTCCGACGGCCTAGGGCATCCGCTACAGAGCCCCAGGCATAAGCACCTGCCATCATGCCGATGAAGATGATCGAGTTGAGCCATCCCTTGGCTTGGGTATCGAGCTTTAGGTCACATTGTGCACTAGGTAGGATGAAGGACATAGAGATTACGTCCATCTCCTCGCTGGTGCTGACGAAGCCGCATACTGTGAGGAGGAAGTAGTGAAATTTGCCATAGTCTGGAAAGTAAGTTTTCATATAGAAAGTTTAAATTAAAATATTAGCACTAACAATTAAATCAAGTTCAAACATATAACCATAATCCAAAGTTAAAACGTGTAGAATCATATGAAATTAATTATAATTATTGTTCTATTCTAATAATTATAATTGTACAATACTTGTACAATTATACAACAATTTATATTGAATAATTATGTACTCCCTATATAGAGTTATTGATTTATCTGATAATATATTATTCATAGAATTGCCAATTCACGCGCAAAATGTGGATTGCTTTTCAGATGAACTATATCAGAATTTAATTAGAATATTAATGAACTATATTACCAGAAATGATTACTAACTGAATTACCAGTTTATTCTAGTTACGTACAATATCTAGACTCGCATAGATTGTTGTAATATTCTTTCCATGAATATTAATTGTATATATATGATCAGATCAGAATTTATGCGGAATTAGAATGGAGGATAATAAATTTCATCAGTTTATTACATAAGTTGTTACAATGTTTGAATAACTAATAATCATTTGCCAACATGATGATAAGTAAATTGCATCAGATGTTGAAGTACAATTTATGAGAAACTCCAAAGTGTAAAGATCACAGAGTGTACAGAATGTGCAAAAGTATCGAATAGACAAAATTCTGATTATCTAATCGAGGAGGGTGGGAAGGAAGAATGAAATTACCGGCAAGTTCAATAGCCTTCTCGAAGTCTGCTTTAACAATGGATCCTTTCTCTGGATCTAGGGTCTTGCCCGCTGTTCCAATACCTGAAAATTAGAAAAAAAAAAATTGCCAATGAAAAATACTTAGAGTTTTTGTATAAACGCACGAATATTGTGTTATAAACTTGTTGAATTACAGGCTCGGTGTAGTTTAAAGTGTCGTTTATTTTTTGAATTTCTGTTATACTTACGGGCAAGTTCGAGATCCTTAGAGCCACAGCCGTTTAGCCGCTCGTCTTTTACATCACACTCTGGAAAAGAAAAAACCGAGAAAACAGGTTCGCGTGTAATTTATTGCCATGTAATTGCACCACTTAAATGAATATTTTGAAACAAACATTATTAAAATCAATGCAAAAGATGATGAAACAATCATTTTCAACATTTACGGGATGTGTTCCCTTCGAGTCCAATTTAACATCCACATTTGCAGTATTTCATTTAAAGTAAACTACTATTCCCTTCTTTTACTGATTACTTACAGTTCTACTTTTTTTAATTGTACAACTTGTTAATTGCAAGCTTATTTATCCATAGAATTATTATCACTGCATCTATTTTTATTCATAAAGTCATTACTATATTTTTTAATTGTATAACCAGCTTTAATTGTATGTCTAATGTAACGTACGCGGACGAAATTCACGAACAGATGAATTTATAAATGAAAATGGTGAACACTCTCCCCTCCACGTGTTGCAGAAAGCACTGTAGCAAATATAATATTACTGTGCTGTGCAAGATTAAACCGCGGTCTCGTAAAATCCTACGAAACTCGTGGAAATACTCGAGTGATTGCTCGCGGGATCGAAAGATCGTTGAAAGAGTTAAATTTACGTACTATGATTGTGCTTTGAGTTAAGTTCACTCTCTACCATTCTACGATGTCGGCGCAGTTGGGTGAAGTCTGGCGGTTTTTTAATTGAGTTAGATGAGAAATCTTCGTGCTCGACGATGCACCTCGATCGATATCAGATTGATCTTGTCCTTGCGGATTGCTGGATCTCGGCGAAGTCCTCCTGCTGAATCTGCGCTGATCTGCTGCTGCTCGTCGGCGGGGCTAGGTTCTGCGCTCACTTGCGAGCTGAAACGCAGAGACGTAAAAAGAAAAAAAAAGAACGCACGTGAACAGGCATCGGAGTTACGTAAAGAGAGAAAGAAAAAAAGAAGAGCGTGCACTTCGCGCTCGTTGCATTTCGCTAAAAAGCGCCCGGACAAATAACGCGCGAAGGTTAGTGAAAGTAACGAAAGGGAAAAAAGCCTTGCTCTATCGAGAGAAACACTTCTCCTTGTTAACATATTATGCAGATTACGCGATGTATATAGACTGCGGATATTTATGCAAATTTGTGGTTTCACGAACGAGAAAGCCAGATGGAATATTAACAGTTTGAATGTTATATTGTAGCAGACTTGCTTATATTATATTTTTGCAATTTGTAATTTTGCGTAAATGCATAAAAAAAGACGCATTTACATTATGAGAAATAGATGGTGAATGTTTACGCGATTTTTATATTTCTACGGAGATTATCAGAGAGACTGAGAGTGGATGAAAGAGATCATTCGATGGGAATTAAATGCTACGATTGTTTCAACCGTTGAATATTATATTACGTTATATCTTGGATTGTTTTAGATGGTTTTTGCATGTTTTACGTTTCTCATCGTGTGCAATTTTACGCTTCCAAATTTCTCATAAACGCAACACAACGAATATATAGTTTTGTAATAAAACTAGTTTCTCTAGAAGTAAGCTAGATGGGGAAATTACTATTCTATCAAGATACAGAGTGTTAATGATAGTTACTAAAGAAGAAATCACTTTTACATTCAAAGATTTATCACTCGTCAATCTCAATTATGTATTGTGTCATTTTTCCTATTAGTTAATTTTTTCACTTAACGAGAGAGCTATATGTGTTCAACAGTAATTTCCAATGAATCAAGAATAGACAAGCGCGATAGAATTTGCTTCTTTCCATCTGAATCAACATGAGGGTTAAATAGGGCCAATTCGTAATTGGCGCTGCTAATAGACGTGGGTCGTAACGTTTTGAAAGGCAACGATTTGGAGGCTTTTCGATGATGAGGACGATAATTGACGACGAGGTCTGTTTACAAAGCATCTTTGCAAAATAGACGTGATTCAGATCTGGGGTATAAGGGTACTTAAGTCCATGTCAATAGAAATGCTGCTCGCAAAGAATTAAAATTCTTGAAATGCAAAGAATTAAGATTTTTCTGCTTGAAGAATTAAAATTACGAGGAATTAAAATTCAAAGAAGAAAAAAAAATAGTTAAAATTAAATAGAAAGAACAAATATTGAAGGACGAAATATAATTAAACGTTTCAATGTTAAAATTATCAGGGTGGTCAGGAACGACTCAGTTCGCAATTTTTCGCGGAAATTTTACAGAAATTTTATGACACTATGTTTTTTTCTCTCTTGGAATTTAAATTCCAGAAAAATGTTCTTTAAATTGTGTCACAAAACTTTTCGTTTGTCTTCTCTATAATTTCTCTGGCACAAATTCTATACTTTAATCGTCGACGTCAGGCTAATCAATAAATATAAATAATATTTAAGTTAATATACAAGTCAGACAATGTGAAATTAAATTGAATTAAAAGTTGAAAACGAGAAAAGAATTAAACGAGAATTGTTCGTGATTTGATTCGCAAATGGATACTCTTATTGAGACATCATCAGACACGGTATCGATATTGTCAAGGGAGATCGATTAAGACGAAATTTAAAATTTCAACTCTAATAAGACGGACCTTGATTCACAGATAACCGCACTTGTTTTATATATAAAACACTATGATTACTTTTAATTATTATATGTTCCCACAATTCTTAGCTCGCTTAGATGTAACTAGCTATCATATACGTAACAGTCAGTTTTCCGCACTATCATTCGACTGAACAAAGTCTTGCAAACTTCTGGACGGAAAATATCGTCATGGCTGAACAGATCAGGCCGTGAATAATTTTCTTGAATTATCATAGCAGTCTCGATACAATCTAAGATGGAAACAAGACTGGCCATGTATTCATCCAAACAAAGAGAATCGAATAAAGTCTGAAGCTATCCTTGAAATCGAACATGGAAAAACGTTTTCTCCTTCTTTTATCGTAGTTGATATTCTTATTTTATTTTAAATATTAAAAAACATCTACACTTTACTTTTCGTTCACTGTTTCTTGCGGAAGTTCTTGCCAGTACCATTTTTACGTCTTTGGTATTCGTATGATAATCGAGCTCTGGCATGAAAACACTATCGATTCTTCTATGACTAATTGACAAAAACACGTGTTCTCGTTCTATATTTTCCTCTGTTTTTCTGTCGATCGTTTCGCGCTATTGCGTGTAATTTTACTTCGTTATAATTAGAACAGAATTTTATGCAACTCTTATTGCATATCTCGAAATGAAGGAAATTGAAGAGAAATGTAGCTTCAATTTTGAAAGGAGGAATTTTAGAAGAAATATCGAAAAGAGGGATTCAAAGAAATGTAAAAGTAAATCTCGAGCAGTCACGTTAAACTGTTGTTACAGCAGGTTTTCACGATTCGATGAAACAATTGCAGAAATAATTAAAAAGATAAATAAAGAAAGACAACTGATGACTAAAGAAATAACCGAAGAGAACGATAATTTTTGTTCATAAACCTTCTTCGTTAACATTTTACGATACAGTCTCGATATAAATTTCTTTGATACCCATAATTGATAAATAAATATTCTGTATAATCAACTGACTAATATAATGTTATTAATGATTAACGTGACTGTAAAAATAAAATAATCATCTCTCCAAGAGAGAGAGAAAAAGGTAAACTCGAATGGATTAATAAAAAAGAAAAAAAAAAAGAAGGGGAGCGGGAGAAAAAAAAAAAATGAAAGATCGACCGTGACAGGACTCGAACCTGCAATCTTCGGATCCGAAGTCCGACGCCTTATCCGTTAGGCCACACGGTCATTGAAGGGTAGCTTTTCGAAATTAGTATTTCACTATCGTAGAAAATGTCACCCCCATTATTATTTAATACAAAATAAAATCATTGCACAAATATTTCAGCCGTCGATTTACGATATTATTTTGTAAAAATGAATGTCCTACGTCGGCGTTATAATTTGTTGACGATTGTGAATCCTAGTTTATCGAAAATATAGGTAATTTAGCGGTGAGCGTGTTGTTGCTCGGTTATTTCGGAAATTTATTCGATTTACCAGAAATTTACAAGATTCGAGTCTCAATTGTTCGATTTCTGTGAAGAAATTTTCCAATAGAATTTATAAAAGTGAAAACTTCTTCGACTGTTTCATACTTCTTAATTTACTTACATCAAAATTCAATTTATCATTATAATTTTTTGGTTAATCAAATTATTAATCCCTTATTACAAGTGATTAGATGCAAATAATACAAGTGTAATACTTTATTTTAATTTTCAATCAATTAATTAATATCTTATACCTTTTATATATTCAGAGTTTATTATTTAATTTAATGATCAAGTGGTAAAATGTGATTCGCAATTCTTTAGAGGAATTCTGTAAATTTACGATGTAGCAGTGCTTTTTTTAGAAACTTACGATGTAGTTTTTAGTATTTTTAGAAATTTCATTGAACAAACTTCATTGAGATGAAATGTACGTATCTTCGAGTCCACCGTCCAACCATAAGTTCGTCCAAATAACAAATTGTATAAGAGAATGAAGGAATTTCAAGAAAATGTCGAATTGAATACCTTGGCAAGTCCTATTATAGACCCTGAAAGCTCAACGACATAATTGCGAGGGAGGCGTGGCGTGGCTTAATCTCGTTCTAGAAAACGACTGAATATTAGCAGACATTGACGGACATCCTGTACTAAATACTCGCTAAGTACACGACATCACGCGCGTGTTTCTCGAAACCTTCGCCATCATTTTTATAGCTTCACTTCCTCCTCTATGTATCCGTTTTTCCTCCCGCGAGGAACATTTATTCTATTAATCTTCGAGGTGCTCGCGAATTACATCTTTTTCTGTGGGCCAGAAAATTTATCTTATGAAACGAAAAATTTCGGATTAGGCCACAAATTAGCTATGCATCTGAGAAATTTTTGGGCAACGAGATTCGTTTTGTGGGATAAGAAATTCCGAGCCAAGGCCAAAAAATACTAACTTTGTGGCGAAACAGCTTTGTAGAAAATTCCTTTTATGTGAGACGATAAATTTCACAGGTGCCTACAAATGATCTATTCAGGGAATTTTTGCGGCCTGTATTTTATTCTTTGTATTTAGAATTAAGCAGTGCTTCTGTGAGCTTTTCCTTGTATTCTAATTAGAAAGAACATACAATTTTTGAGCCAGGATGTAAAAAATAGAAGTATAAGAAGTCTAGAATTCAACATTCATATAAATGGTATGTGAATTAAATAAAAAAAAAAAAAAATGCGTTTTGCATATGTACATATGTAGATTATTATTTTCTTGAATAAGTATCAACTAGTAGTTATAATAAGTTATGCAACTTCTATTCCTTGTACGCGTTACGTGAGAAACGTAATAAAAATCGTCAAGCAATAAATTTAAATATCTTTCCAGATGCTTGTCGTATCGAGCTGTTTTGTCAGCTATGTAAATGTTATAATTTTTACGCGACAAAGATCTTTAGATATTCAATATTCAACATCACGACAAATGATATTAATGATTTGGTTGAAAATATTCTCGACGTATTGATATTTTACCACAGTAATTTTGTATACTAATCTTTTTAAATTTGATCAGACATTTTTGAATTACGATTCCATTCAATTACATAAAAAATTTCAATTATTAAAAGATAAAATGTTAAAGATAAAATGTTAAATTTTATTTTATTTTACTTTGTATTATAGTTTGATTTTATATTTAAACTGAATATTAAATGAAATATTAAATATTCTGTGATAGAAAATATAACAGAATACTGATGTTTCTTAAGTTAAATAAAAAATCGAATAAAATTTCAAGGAGAGAGAAACAATTTTGCATGTATAATCATGTGAAATATATCAAGTTATTACATCTGTTACATCAGACAGTTGATGTAGCAAATATGTTTTAAATGTTTATTGCAACTGATTAGATTAAAGAATCCACGTGGCACGATACCTGTCATTTTGTAATAATGTAACATAAACATGCTTTTACATTTTCACCTTGAAAGATTTTAAACATTTTTTTCAACTGAAAATTTTTTCAACGTGCAAATTAACACTTTATATGTGTATAATATATATATAATAACATATACATATATATATAAAAGTAGGAAAGTTATATATTATTTAAAGCTTTATATATATATATTATTTCAAAATCTAACTATCATATCACAAAAAGGAAAACGAAGACACATACTGTAGTGACAGAGTAATACAATTAATCAATTCAAATGCAATCGCGGTAATTGTGAATAAAATCTTTTATACTGTTCAATTAATTTAGCAGGTTTTTTTTCTACCACGTCGTCCTTCTAATTTAAGTGACGACATAAAAATATGAATTTCTCTAAGCATCGTGACTACATGGACAATAGAAGTAACGACATTATTTTTGAAAGAGTATAAATAGTTCGCGATGCTGCATTGAGGTCGTTGCACGGTGATGCACCGTACTTGTAATTAACTACATCAGTTAAACTGTCAATTATCCGTTGTGAAATTGAGTTCAATGATCTGTCGTAATGCAATTGCGATCTGCGATGATGCGTGCCGCAGGTGCGACCTGTACAACCACGTGCAACTATGTTCGACTCTGATACAGAAAACCTTTTACGAACCGAATCTACAGGGAATCTAGCACGTCAATTGCCTATTTATTCCCTTGGTTGGCGATTTAAATTGGATTGAATTCAACTAAAATTAGTTTCAGCGGCAGATAAATGCCATTTGTGGTAACTTCAACCGTGGCCAGAGAATTAAAGATAATTTTCAAATAGGAAGTCCTTGATAATTTTTACTTGATATTTAGCAGTTCGATCTATAAAATTCAAACGATTTATTCTGTCTGATCATTTAACTTAGAAAAGTTCATTGTTTCACAATGTTTGAATTCTTGGCTAAGGATCTTTTTATTTATTAATATTCAATGACAATCTTATGGAATTTACACGGTAGCTAAGAATTTCCAGTACCAATTTATAATACTAAACAAAAAATGTATCATTCTCGATGGTAGAGATTCTGTTTTAAAAACAGAGTGAAGAAAGGAAGTTTTTACACCCTGAAAGAATTATTTTAACTATTGTAAATAAATAAATTTTCAAAACACGTTGCGCCTACCTAATTGTGACTAACAAATTTAAATAATATATTTGACAAATTAAAATTAATTATGTTGGATCTGTACTATTGTCCTTAATTTTGCGTTGAAGTTACGATTCTTCATCGATGATAAAATAATAACACCTAAGTATAATGACCCGGGAATATAAAAGTATTATAAAGAATTATGTAATGTGTGAGATATATATTTGTAAATTACACAAGTCGTAAGCGGAGAATTATGTGCTTCGTAGTTAGCACAATTTTAACATTGACGCAAAAAAAAACAAGGAAAGTTTCGAAATTTTTCGAAATTTTATTTTTAGTCAAATTGTTGTTCCATCATAGTTAACAAAACTATATACTCAAATAGTCAGAGTGAGTCAACATATCTTCCCTCCATAGTATTAACACATTAAAAAAAGAAAACACGTGATTAAAGTTCACGAGAAAATGAATTTATGCGCTGAAGCTGCACTAATTAATTTAAATTTAACTGAATTTCAATTTATTTCTGAAACAGTAGAGATACTGTCAGATATTTTTTCATTCGAATGAAACATCGTTCCTTACAATATAGTCGACGTTCATCTCCTCTACGAGATATATCGAACGATCTTTCTTGCTATTATCCTCAATTACGGTCGCACGAAAATAATTGTTACACCTATTCTTCTTCCCATCGTACACCCACTTCGACCTTCCCGATTTTCTCATCAAATCTAACGCAACCGAAACGATCACCGATAGCGAATTAACATGAAATGAAATCTCTGCAGTGTTGCCTGAGAGATCGCGAATTACCCGCTTATTTCTACCAAGCTCCACGTTTCATTCTCCACGCTGAGTCGCTCAAATTTTTCCATTCTGTGGATGGAATTCCGTCCATTCCACGATCGCGATTTGTAACCAATCGAACTTTGTCAAGTTTAAAAAAAATTCTCAACTATTTGTCTATTTTATCTCTAATCGTAGTGTCTCATTGTCTGACTGTTTATCGATCGAGAGTGGCCAATCTCAACTTGACAATTTGACAGAACAAGTGAAACGATCAAGTGATCACGTTTTAGATTAAGTTTACATCGGTCTTCGTCCGTAAATGAAACAGATTCGAATAAAATTCCTGATCGAAACGCGACACGTTCATGTGCGTTAATCGTCAGGGGGGTCGGCGGGTTTGATTGAAGCGCGTAGATCTACTGCGTGATCCGCGATCGCGGATCGAACGTGGTGCGAAGAGAGGAAACGAGGTCAAGCTGCTCTCGAAAGCTCTAATCGTCGTGTCAAGCGTGTGGCACTGAAAGTAAAGCGGTTTGTAATTATCGTCAGTCTCGCAAGGACATAATAATCAGTCTCGTTGCCGACAAATTTACCGGGCCCTGTGGGGGTGGAAGGAGGCGGCGGAGGAGCGTTGCCAGTTGCTGAAGACCGGTGTCACCACACTCGTTAAGAGTGGTTCGCACCACGATACCGGCTATCGGCTAATTGGCACGTTTTCGACAAAACGTTATCGTCGTCAATATTTGACGGACGCACGTGATTGATGATTTATGCTTTAAGCGCCGATCCGTTTTTCTGCTTTGTGTGTTTTTTTTCTGGTGTTTCTATCGATCATCCGGGCGTTTGAAATTGTCAAAATGATTTCAAGAGTTTAATACTGAACGACTGGGCACGTAACGTTGGATTCAGTTCTAATAATTTACTATTGGTAAACCGTGATAGTTAATAATATATAAATATCATAAGCATGTCAGTTATATAAATTAGTATCCAAAGGACTCAATTATGTAGAAATTTACGAATGTAAACTGCCCTTAAGTTTTTTTTCGACTTCCTTTCGTCATTTTGTAATTATTGGCGTTCTTAATTAATAATGAGCTTTATAGTCAATTAATGATTGAAATTAATAATCATTCTCATTGCAATTACAATAATAATATTTTGAACTACTAGTATCTTGGAGTAGCTTTTAGAATTTAGTTTTATAGTTGTTTGAAAAATTTCAAACTAATATTTCGAGTACTTTGAACACATTAATAACGAGCAACATCTCTTTGGAAAACGTTGGATGATTCTTCTGTTGCAACAAACAATTTGATGTGACACACTTGAAGATTAACTGATTAATTTGTTGGAAAAGTCTTGACAATCGAGAGTGAAAAAAAAGAAAAAGACAAACATTACTTACTCTGCGTACGAGCGTGGAATTTTCGCGAGATTAAGATTCAAGGATCCGTGGTCCAAAACAAGTGGGTCAATTAATGATCGATCGATCTGTCACCGTTAAATGTCATGAAAACCACGTGTGTTTAACGTAGAAAAATATGACGGATATTCTCAAACTTATCGACGATATTATGCGAAATTACGTCAAGGTTATCACTTAAAATGCACTTAAATACCTGTTATTAAAGAGCAATACAAACGAGAGAATTTAGATGAAAAATTTCAACGCTAAAAGTTACTTGTTTAAGTTTAGAGGATACTTATGTAAAAATGTACTTATGTTTTTTTCTCCCCCCACTCTCTCTAAAAGTATATGAATTCTTTTTTTGAAAAGCATACAATTAACTTCGAACTTTGGTATTTTTTATCTGCGAACATGACAATGAACAATTTGGCTTCGTTAATTTTCTTTTCACTTATTTCCTCGCCTCCAAATACATCGAACAAACGGAAAATGATCATCTGTCATACATAATTTTCATTTTCAATCGCCGGAGTAAATTAATTAATATAGTGTTATCAAAAACAATCCAAACAAAAAAAAAAAAGAAAAGGAAAGCACACAATCGAACGTTGAAGAACCAACGAACGCACAGAAATTCCAAAAATGGACTGATTGAATTGAATTGAATTGGCGTTGCGATTTCTATGACAGAATTGCAAACTAAATTCGATCGGCACGGGAGACGACGGTGCGTAGAAATGAAACGAGTGTCGGAGTATCGAAGAGTAAAAGCAAACTGGCCACCTCCTATCAACGCTGTAAAACGTTCCCGTTCGTTTCCTAGTCTATCGAGTGACATGCTGATGGTGGCCATGAAGGGAGATGCCCCCGTTACTTAGCTCGACTCGCTTCAAAGGATATCAGGATCCTTTAACGCGTATGTATGTACGTTTCAATGCCTCGATCGGTTGACTTGTGATCTTGTTATTAGATTGTGTCGCGTCGAGTTGTTGAAAGAGGCAAGTCAGGTAGCTGATCAGTTTTAACAGATACTTGGAGATCACGGAGATCTGTCATAAGTGGCCGGGCGTGACAATTTCTTTGTTATTCGTATATTTTGTATTTGAGAACTTTAGAATTTGGAACTTGAAACTTCAGAGTGTCGCGATATTTCAAATGAATTCAGTTTGCAAATAATTACAGTAGATACTGCTAATACTTCTGTTTCTTAATGTACGATAGATGAGGATAGCTTTGTTCCAACTTCAAACACTGTCCCCAGAAAACGTTTAAAGATCTCGTTCGCGAAAATGTCTCGAACACTTCTTAATATTCGCCCGCGCGACTTTTTCTCGCCATTATTATTGAACTTTGAGTACCAGGATCAAACGACAGATATTCAAGAAGTTCTAGCGTCGATGAACGCCTCTGGAAAGAAGATCGGACTCGCCCCTTTTGCAACAACCCCTTGAAACTTGTTCCATGACTTTTCTCGCGCCGTTTCGCCAAACTTTGAACATTTCAGAAATCCTAAACGTAACGTTCAAAGTTTGGTGGAAAAAAAGATCGTAGAGCTTTGAGAGATCGTTTGTGGAATTTCGATCTTCGAAACTACGGTGGATTTAATTAAAGAAAAAAATTTATCAACGTTCTCAGAGGCAGTTTGACAATTTTGACAATTTTCAGAGAATGAAGGTCTCCTTTCACTACACGATGTAAGAACATCTTCGAAAAAGAAACAAAGTTAGCACTGCGAAGGTAACAAGATCGATTTCTTATATATATAATTTTATATTTATATAATTTTAATATATGATTTTCCCTCGCAAAGTTCTGACAAAGTTTGAATTATCGACGCGACTTTTCGTTCGCAGAAAAGATCCGCGTTTATTGTTTGTCTCAATTCGTTCATATACATATACATTTGCGCTAAATATACACGTTCGAAAGCAACGAATAATATTATTGGATTAATGGAATCGAAATGAACGCGCATATATATATATATATATATATATGTGCAGAATGTTGATCTAAGTTTAACGAGCTAAACGAAGTTGATGAAGTTTCTCATTGAAGCAGCCATGCTTTTAGCTTTTACGCAGGAAAAACAGTCGCCGCTCTTATTTTTCGTCAGAAATTTATCGTTATCGCGCGCGTCGTTTCGATCGCGGCACACGGAGAGAGGGATATGTACATCTGCTGGCGGATCGATCGTTTATTTGCTTGTTAATTAAAAGAGAGATAAAGCACAAGTGTATGCCCGGCGCGACAGTCGGCGAAACCCCGATTTCTTCGCGTAAGGTAACATGGAAAAATGGAAATACACGTACGTCGACCTCGTCGTCACTGGAGCAAGGTTTATTCTATTTGCGCCCGAAGGACTATCTTGCATTATGTCTTTCTTCTGTCGACTACCAGCGACGTGTATCCCAATCACGTTAATTAACGAAGATTAAAAGGAATAATTGCAATAACTTTCTCCCGCGATTTTCAATTGAAACGTTGGGACAAACAACTATTTTTATAAAATACAAAACATTAATTTAAATAATTTAAAAATATAACGTAATTCAAAATAAAGTTATTTGAATAAATGAATAGTTATTTAAAATAAGTTAATACAGTTGTAGTTGATAGCTATTCAAAATAAGTTAAACAAGTTATTTAGAAAATCTTACGCGGCTCTTAAGGAATTCAAAATTCGTGCATCACATCAATCGATTTTCTTTCGATGTTTGATGTCGTATCTATTTAACTGATAACTGGTCAGGTCGATCTGTCAGATTCTACGCAATTCGCGATGAAATTTAATTTTTTACGAGAACCTCTTTTTTACGATTCTTTTCCACATTGACGCGCCCTGCGATGAATCGATAATCCATCGAGTAAATTACAGCGTCGTTGTAACACACGCTCAACGCCGAGAGTGGTTTCAACCGGTTATACTCCGAGAAGCATAAGCGAGCATGCTCCAGTTCGCGACGTCGCACGCTCACACGATCCTGAGATCTTTTAATTGCCTGTGAGTTTACGCGAATCGTCTACTTACTTAAATTTCGACGATGACCAAACACGCTCTAACACTTGGCGCGTGGCGTTTGGTTCATTGATAGAAATTAGGATTAATTCAGTGTCAATTTAGACACATCGCGTTCATCGATTTCGATCTTTAACAACTTCTGAGTATCTGGCGAATGTTGGGCAAAAATTATTGGAAATTTTATTCAACAGAAGATAATAGAAAACGTGTCTATATTGGATCAAGTTAAGTTGATTCATAGTGCTTTCAAGCTCATAAACTCAAGTAATTTTAAACGAGGAAATTCATAAATACAAAGTATTCGAACTTCAACGTTTTTGCCCGGCTCTTTTCAACTTTATCTCGGGAATTTCAAGCGAGCCAAAAAAATTGTCCGTTGTTTTTTTTTTTTTTTTTTTGGAAA